CGATCTTGCTCTATTTTATAGATATTTTCATGGAAGATGCTCTTCTGAAATATTAACAATTATTCCTCCATTGGCATTCCCCGCGAGATTAACCCGTCGAGTTGAGGCTTCGCACCCCTTCGTGGTCACTTTAGAGACCTGGAGAACATCTCTTTCCAAAGACTCGTTCATCCAACGAACAGCGAGGCTCTGGAACACATTGCCAAGGGAGGTGTTCCCCGAGGCATTAACCTCCAGAAATTCAAGAAGCACACCAATTCATACCTTATTTCTCTTGGTTCTCACGATGTTCTCTGAACATTACAGGATATCCCTTTTCGTGAGAATCAGAACATAAAAAAAGTGAAAATAAACGATTCTGTTTGGTTTTCGAAAACGAGAGTGGAATAGTCGATAGTATTTAGAGGGTTGTTCAGCGCAATGTCAAATTCGAAATGAATTGTGTAGTTAAGAATAATTAAGAGGGGCACCTATTTCATTGGCTGTGCAGTTTGGTTAACGGTGAGATGTGCCACTTTCTTCCAATTAGTTGCATCTGTAGAAAGCCTTTCACCTCTGTTTGAATCTTTCTTTATGTTTGCAATAATTCAATATATTTTTACTCTGTGTGTTGTGTTCGATTCGGCGGTGAATCAGTTTGTTGTAACGGATCGTTTGAAGAGTGACCCCCAATCATTTTCAGCATAATATCTCGAGGTGAACGTATTATAATTATTCTCCTTGTTATTGTAAGGTCAATTTCAATGACATTATCAAGGATTTTTTTTCCATTTCCCATGATTTGTTGCTGTTGGCGCGAGTCATGCTATAATCATTAGTATTGTTCTTTATTACTATTGCAGAATATCATATAATTAATTTTCCATAGATACAGATAATTGTGTACTCGTACAATATGCATACGATATACTTCGAACATATTAAAATATTGCTGAAAAAATATTGGAATAATTACCCTCAATCTATTTTTCAGTGGTATTGAAAAATGTACGTAGAATTGAATGCAAATTATTGGGAAAGAAATGTGATGCAAGTGAAACAATCTGAAATTTCCATTGTGAGGTCATTGAACGATCAAAAATATAATAATAATGGGATTGTTAACACTATTTATTAAAATTGGCACCACTACAGATCACCCGACGTTCCATGTATACAGCCATTAATGTCATTTCATTATTCAAAGTCGTCACAATTTATTTTTCAATAATAATAATCTTTTTTCTGTGACGGGAGAAAAGTTTGGCATTTCATCTCTGTTGGCAGATTATAAAATGTCACTTTTCATAAATTACTTTTTTCCCGTGGGAAAAAAGTGAGGCCTTTTTTCCCGGGTATATATCACATATACAGGGTGGGTCACGGTCGATGGCACCTTAGACGTTTACGGAGAACGGGACATAAGATCATTCTGAAAATTTGGTTACTCAAGTAATTGCTCTTGATCTATCGATCTAAAATATTTTCAGCTCTGCGGCGTTGCCGCTTCTATCGAAAAGTAGCAACAACTTTGTTATTTCAAATGGAACACCCTGTATTTTATTGCATCTTCAGATTCTCTCTGAAGAGCTGATTTCATCGATGTATCACACTTGGGGTCTAGCGGAAATGATTACAGAGATATAGGGTGTGAAAAATCGACATTTTTCAACTTTAGGAATTTTTTTTGTCGAAACTATTCATTATTGGTCAAAACGGCTCACATGTCCCTATCCCAACTTTTGATCAACTATCTACTGACATTTAATTGAAACAAATACAGGGTGGTGCAGAATTCAGATTCTTGATCACCCGGTATATGGGTGGCCGGTTTTTTTTGCCGGTGAGTGTATATACACTGTTGATGGCTTTTGTGTGCAATAGTTCCGAAAAATGAGTCAATAATACCGTCTCCGAGAAAGAACTGCAAGTCCTTTTATCTTCCATTCGACTTCGCGGTTACGTATATTACTATCAACCACTAAATTCGCAATTTTTTGAAATCAAATCACAGAATTAGACTGACAGAAGTGACATCAGATATCTGATTACTTCAAAAGAATGATAAAGATGCCTACAACGCAGGTGTCCCTATACTGTTAAAAACTTAAAATTTCACGTCAATAATTTTCAGATTTCAAAATAATGTAATATCTTCTCAATATTGATTCGTCCTTTCTTCTGTCACAGAAAAAAATAGTGTATTATACACGGGAAAATATTAGATTTTAGCTCACGGTTTTTTGTCTCCCTCCGTTACGCGTCGGGAGACAACACAACCTGGAGCTAAAATCTACTACTTTTTTCCCTTGTATAATAAATAACTATAATAATAATAATAATAATAATATTTATTTCACTTGTTAAACCGTATGAAAGCGTTACAATAAACATTTACGTACAGTAACAAGGAATACGTCTGTGTATAAATAAGAGAGTAGGAGATAAATATATATATATAGAAAAAAAACAAACATTTTATATAAAACGACAAAACTTGACACCTATTAATTTGGACATATACAGATGGGTGATTTATTGATTATCGTGAGTTACTAAAACTCGTCAACGGTGTAGCAGTTTCTTTCTATGAGATATTTTTTTAATTGTCTTTTGAATATGGAGATATTCTTTGAATCCTTAATAGAAACATCTAGCTTGTTATATTTTTGTGACGGGAAAAAGTTTCCAAATTTCATATCTGTTGACAGGTTATAAAATGACACTTTTCATAAATTACTCCCGTATATACAGGGTGTTTCATAATTGAATGTCAATATTTTGGGAGGCGATTCTTGGACCCATTCTAAGAAGAAATTTTCATATGAATGAATGTATGACCTGAACGTCCTAACTTTTGAGATACAGGGTGGTAAAGTTCTCGAAAAGTAATAGTTTTTTATTAATATCTGTAATACCAATTCAGATATGCTAATGAAATTTTGCATACACATGACTATGTATCAAGAGGCATCAGTTGGTGTATCGCTTTTTTTTGCTTGCCACCAGTGGCGTGCGTATGGAATTTCTTATACCTATTTTGGCAGAAATTGATGGTACGCCACTGATTAATCTCGAAATTGAAATCATTCCTGAACTTCCCAATCATGTCTAAGCAAATTTGATCACTACAATTTTTTCAAGCTGATGCACCGTTTTCGCTTAAAAAAATAAAAACCTTTTCACTACATGATTACAGCAATATCGTTACTATGACAATATCACAATGAATAAAAATAGATTTTATATTTTAGATCAAATTTCAGAAATACAATTCATAGTTTATGAACTTCGTATTCGTATTTGGTATTTTGGAATTATAACTTTTCATTGTAGTAGGCTATATTAATTTTTGAGTACTTTACCACCCTGTATCTCAAAAGTTAGGACGTTTAGGTAATACGTTCATAACAAGAATCGCCTCCTCGAATATTGATATTCAATTATGAAACACGCTGTATATCACATATACAGGGTGTTTCTTAAGTACGTGTAGAAAATTCAGGAGCATGTTGCTGACGTCAAAATAAGAAGTAAAGTTTGTATAAATACATGTCCGAAAGTTATTCGTTTCTGAGATACAGAGTGTCAAAGTTGAATTATTATTTTTGTTTTTTGTTAATAAGGACCACGCACACATTACATGAGAAAATGTCTTTCGGTGAAAATGACTGGATTTTTGATATATTGTAGCTGTAGTCATTCTAAGTAAAAGATTCCATTGGCCCAACTCGATCGTATGACCAGATTCGGCGCTATAGGGTGAAACATCATGAATTTTGTGTATTTTTGAGTCTTAGAAGCTTAATGAAGAATATGAAAATATCGATATGCATTCACCCTACCAAAATTCATTGAAGATAGATATGTTTCAAGGTTACAGAAAGGATGTAGTAGCCTTTTCACAGGGTGGTAAACAATAAACTAATTTTCAGAAAATCCGAATGCCAACTTTCGAATTTTCACACACACATTCACACATACACCTAATAACAAAAATCATAACAAAACATTGAATCATCTTGTCACGAAGTGGATTCTCATGCAAGATGGATCTTTTCTTAGTGAAGAAGAGCCCTTGTATTTTTTGCATATGGCCATAACATGAAGTGAACATAGAGTAATGACGAATGTTCGTAAAACTTCTCATTGTATTTCGTCGGAAAGAATTCAGACAATGGCATCAGAAGACATATTCAGGACTATGCCATGATTAAATCATCTAAATGAGTATATTGGCAACTTCTGTTATTCTGATCACTCTGTATCAATGATTATCATTCTCTTTTCTTCGATCAACGTTTATTCTGATCGATGGCCAATGATGAACTCAATAAATCAGCTTTCTCATATAGGCGATTGCATTCGGATTTTCTGAAAATTAGTTTATTGGTGACCACCCTGTAAAAAGGCTACTAAATTCTTTCTGTAACCTTGAAACATATCTATCTTTAATGAATTTTGGTAGGGTGAATGCCTATCACGAGATTTTCATATTCTTCATTGAGCTTCTAAGACTCAAAAATACACAAAATTCATGATGTTTCACCCTCTAGCGCCGAATCTGGTCATACGATCGAGTTGGGCCAATGGAGTCTATTACTTAGAATGACTACAGCTACAACATATCAAAAATCCAGCCATTTTCACCGAAAGACATTTTCCCATATAATGTGTGCGTGGTCCTTTCAATATAATCGTAATATTCGAAATTTTCTGTTAGTTCGTCTCTTTCTTGGGGGGGGGCACCTACATGTTTTTTGAGTCTTTTGAGAAGTCATAACTTTTTCGTGCGTACCTGTATCAAGTTTTATAGTGGAAAAATTGATTTCTAGAACACTTTTGTGTAAAAAATATATTTTTGGTAGAGGTCGCTGCGAGCAACTGCTTTCGAGTTATTGGGATGTATGGAAATTAAAATCGAACGAAAAATACTGAAAAAAATATGGAATTGAACGGTATTTGAGTGGTGATTCCACTCGCCTATTCCGACATTTTTCTGATCTGGGATTTTTTTTCAGACGATGATCAACATGGCGTTCTGCTGGCTCATCCTGTTGGGCCGCGCCGTCCAGAAGCTGGTATTCGGCGAGCTGAGAGTGTCTGAGCACCAGCAGCTCAGAGACAAGTTCTGGAACTTCGTCTTCTACAAATTCATCTTCGTCTTCGGCATCATCAACGTCCAGTACATCGACGAGGTGCTGCTGTGGTGCTCGTGGTTCTCCTTGCTCGGCTTTTTGCATCTCCTCTCGCAGCTCAGCAAAGACAGATTCGAATATGTGAGTGTAGATTCAGCAACAATCAATCAAAATATACTTGATGAGGAAGTTTCCCTCGGACAAATTATCATAGAATGGGAAAGATTCCTTCCGATGAATTTTCATTCCAGTTTTATGTCCACGCTGTACAGAATGGCGACCGATAAATTCCAAGTCGTTTTCATTTTCGAATTCAAGCAATTTCGAATTTGCGGGCCGGCAAACTGTGACGTACATTCTGAATATAGTCTGAAAATAGCTGATGGTGAAGAATATAGCTAGCGAATAGCTAACGAATTGCTAACTAATAGCTAACGAATGAAAAAAATAGAAGAAGAATTGAAACTGGTGAACAAAAACATACATAACCACAAATGTACTCGGAGCAGGAATGCAGAGGGTAGTTGGCTTCATTCTGACAAGTATGGTTTTGTTATTTATGCATTGAAATATCTCGAATGGAGCTCGATCCTGAACGAAAATATCATTGAATCAATGAATCACTATCGGCTACATTCAATGATACTGTCCTTCCTAATTTACTGTCATCCGTCAGAACAGAATGAAGCCGACATTCATGGCTCCTTCCTCTTGTTCTGTCAGTATTTTGAGTGGTGTGGACGGACTCGAAGTATTAGGCGCTGTTGCAAGATATAATCTGCAACTTTTCTATAAAATAGATCCGTTTCATTGAGGAACGAATTCATTATCAAAAAAATGACTGACAAGTTATGAATAACATTGTAATATATAACGGTAGTGAAAAATTATAGATACTATCGCAAAATAACATAATTTATCTTCATTTGTAATCAACTTCATGAAGCCAATGAGGGATTTATGGGAATTATTCAAAATACTTGACAAAGTAGGATTGAAGAACCTATTATATTCCATTGCTGATATGATATAGTTATTATGCATTCAAAGAACAATTTCCGGAAATCTAGACTAATTGATGATGTCGGCAACCTCGTACTGGCACAGGGAATCGTATTTTAACTTCTCTCTTATTTATATTTTTCTGAAGTGAAATTTGATCTTACAAAAAAATGAGAAAATACGTATATATGTATATTAATTTTTTACAAACTTCATAGTGAGATAAGAACCTTAATAAAAGAAACTTCCTCATTATTATCAAACTACCAACTATTAACATGTGAATGTCGGGTCGCCTTTGAAGTGTAGTCTTTACTAGTGAAAATAATATCATTTCACTTGATTAGTTTTGGCGTTTTTCAAATTCATTTCAATTATGAGCAGATGTTTATTCGTTTTTGTCACTAAATTTGAATAAAGCTTTCTAACACATCATATGCCTTCTAATTTACGACACCACTTTTACGATTGGATGAGTTAATTGTTATTATGACTGAAACTAAATCGTTAAAATGTAATTTACTGACGAATGAATAAACACTGTCATAAATCATTTCATAACATGTAAGATGCAATATTATTTCTAAATGCAGAGGTTTAATTTTGATTCTTTTTTAAATAAATGAATGATTTAAATTTTAGTTTATATCATTACTCATGAATAGGTAATTATTATACATTCACAAATAAAAACCTCACATGGCACAAAATAGGTTTGTCCATTTTTGTATTTGAATTATGTGGTTATGTATTTTTGAACAAAGAAAAATTCATTACTAAAAGGAATATACATGGTATAAGTACGAGACAATGTGACAATTATCACATTTCAATGTTTAAATATGAGATTACACGTAACTCTCCCAAAAAAACTAAGTCATTTCAAAACGAACATAAAGCTATTTCTACTAGAAATGAATCCCTATCCCTATACTTCAGAAGAATATTTTTCAGCACCCTAGTCTTTTTGTTTCTGTCTCTTTAATATCGAAATATTATCATTTTATCTTATGTCTCTGTCTCAAACTGTCCAGTTTTAAGCCTTCAATCTGACGATTCCTATACATGTAAAAATGTCCAATGGAAAATGAACGTATTGTATTGTATTGTTGTATCCAATTATCCATTTCCGGGGGATCGGATGAAATCAAAAAGTTGAGAAAAGTGGACAAAACGCCCACTCTGTCTCCAGTAGCAGAAAATTCTGTACCAAAATCAAGATTGCAACTTGAATAGGGAGAGAGAGAAAACCTTCATTAGGGATAAACCCCAAAAGGCCATTGACCAAAATCTTTCAGCCGGAAGCAACCTGAATATAGACAATAAATTCCAAAATGTCAAATAGGTTGTGTTTTTTTTTTCAGTTATCCTTTTCGCCTAGAACACCATTTTGGAGCCATGTGAAGCTGATGGCTCTGCTAGCTACAATATTTGCACTGTCTGGCTTCATGTTTGTGGTTTCCATATTCGTGGGATTCTTTGGTGGATTCAATACGTTCGCCTTTATGTCTGCTGAGGTAAGTGGCATACATCAAAAAGTTTAAATCATTCAAGATTTTTTTCATGATCTAAAAATCGATTCTGAAAGTTACAAAGGAGAAACTTTTTCGTTAGAAATTTCACACCTTCATTTCCTAACAGATGATTCAACTACTATCAGAGCAAATATGCTCAATTCATGCTCAATTGTTAAAAGCACCATATTATTACAAATTATTGCAGGATGGATTGAGTTCACAAGGGCAACATTGCTTACTTGGCAAATTGATTCAACATAGTTTTGAACTCCTGAAATTTCAGTGTGAGATTATTTTTTGTGTCTAAATGATAATCTGGCATTTTTACCTGCCAGACTTAAGAAAAAATTAAGTGTTGAGAAATTCAAAAAAATAACTGAAAAAATACTTATGTCTTTGATTCTCTTAGGTATATCATCCTAAATCAATTCAGGAACTTATATTCAACAGTCTCTAGATGAATAGTACATTATACATCAAGGGTCAGAAATGCAAGATTTTTTCCAAGGTGTGATTTGTAGCTCAAGGGCGAAGCCCAAGGTGTCCTGAGATGTATATACTATTTTTTACGCTGATGAAAACACAAAAATTAAGAAAGAATAAAAATTTGGTCAAAGTGTTTTGTCATAATTTGTAGTAGTATAGTTTGTGGAATTCGTATCTTGACAACATGCATCTTATTGACATGGTGACAGCAAATATCAAACTGAAATTTATGAAAACAGCTTTAAAAATGGGAAAACCCCAAGAAACTATTGATACTGCTTCTGCAGTGATTCTTAACTTGCTACCAGTGAGATCTAGAAATCTGTATGATGCAGCTTATACTCGCTTCAGAGAAAGGTGTTCCGAAAAGAAAGCGCAGAGCTATGCGGAAAATATGAAGTTGGTATAAACTCCCTAGGGAGAAAATATGTCACATTATCTCCCTAGGGAATAATACGTGACTTCTGCCCCTCTTTTGTTACCAGAGAAACTAACTTCTACTCTCGTCGGCGTAAAATCAACATGTATATGATTTAAAAATGATTATCTGATTATCTAATTTTTTTTTTCAGTTGCTCTTTCATAATTTTTCCTGCTATAAACATATATGTTTCTTGGGAATAATAAAGACTATTATTAAAGAATTCAAATAAGTGGACTGTTGTTTGAAAACAATATTTAATTAGGAAATGTTTTTACTTTTATTGAGTGCACGGAGTTATTGACTCATGATTCACGATTGTCCGAAAATATCTAATTTGACTTGTGTAATTGAATTTTTTGTTATTTATTTTTATATTTTTATGATAGTGAAGTGTAAACATTCGTTAATGGAACATTGATAACCGAATATAAATACTACATTGAGTAGATACCTACTCCCAGATGACCTGAAATAATGAAGTTCATACGTTCTTATTACAATTCAAATACATGATACATCTGATGATAAAACCGAATTTGATAGCACAAAATTCAGTGGAAGGAGCAGCGACAAAAAAACTGATTACACCTAGAGGCTGTTGCTGACCTACATTCATTCATTAGCCAAGAAAAATAATCATCGATAAAGACAAGGAAACAAATTAAATTGGAATATTTTTGGCGATAAAAAATATTACGTCTCTTTAATAAAATACATAGATATCAAATGTATGTCAGTGATGAAGATTTAAAATATCATGTAGTCATAAAGCCGCGAGGCAATTTGAAATAGCTGTTTTTATATGTTTATCAAATTCGATAATTTCTTTTCTGAATACCTTGGCTGAGGTGAAACATTTGTATTTTGATGATCATGATGATTTTGAACCAAACACAAGCTACCTTGTATAATTTCGAATATACGTAGAGTTTGAGACACAGAAATGACAACTGTGAGTGTTTTTGAATGTTTAGATTTATTAAGTTACACACCTTGCATTGTGACAACAGCAACAAAATTGTTTGAATTTGGCAATAAATTTTATGAACGTCAGAATTGAAATATAATTTCATAAAATATTGAGAAAAGAGCATGAATGCGCTACGCGTCGGGATACAACTCAACCTCGAGATAAAAACTTTTTTTCCCTTGTATAATAAATAATAATATAATAATATTTATTTCATTAATTATCTTCCTTTCTTCCTTCCTTTAGCGAAAAAACACGCATCGTCCTTCTTGATAGTTGCCTAAATTTTTGCACATTACAAACTCAACTTTCATAATTTCAAATAAATGCAATTTAAATGAAAGATTACTTGATTCTGGATAATTATAAATGATTATATTATTAGGAAATAATTTGATAGTTGTTCATTCAGCTCGTTAACGATGATTTATGTTCAAACAATAAATTTGAATTCAACCCGTTGGATTTAATAGATTGAATAAAAAAACTGTTTGAAAAATGTATTCGCTCGTAAACAAGGTTTCGTTATATAAATATCTGTTTTTCATCTGCGATTCAGAGACTAAATTACTCCGTCATTTTATTTGGTGTCTGAAAATAATTGGTACCTGTATCATTTAATTCTTTTTCCTTTTTTCTCACATTCCAAACTATTAGCTCATGTCCATCAGGAATACTGCAATTGTGATAACAACACCACAGGAGACTAATTTTCAAAGTGATGTAAAGAAGTTGCTCTACTATACTGTACTAATATACCATTCTACAGATGTTGAAGTTTTTTTCGTGCACGAGGGCCTAGCTCGAGTGTTTGAAATACAGCAAATGTTTTAAATGCCATAGTTATCTACGAATACTTTACACTATTTTCATTTGATATAACATAGTTGCTACTTCTTTCTGATACAAGCGGAAATACTGGATCGGTGAAAACATTTTAGATGGATAGATAATGCTCGATTATTGATGCTTACCAATTTTCACAATGATCTGTCTTTCCGTTCTCCAGATACTTTTAATACGCCATCCACAGTGAATCACTCTGTATATATTTTTTTATTTCAATATCTGATTTGTGTATAAATTGATCTACCTGTTTTGTGACTTTAATGTTCATGAAAACTAATCTTGGACATCTCCATATTCCATTCATCTGTCTGACAGATGTTGAGCTCCTAAGTAAATTGTCCTGAACGATTATAGAGTTCTTGTGAGTACAGGATCTCAAATGATGAGATATCTGCCATAGTTCACATTGCTTCTGGAATATCCTGAAAAAAAAAAACTTGGATTAGTATTATGCTTCTCTGATTCGCAATATATTATTCATCATAACTTTAATCTATGAAAGGAAACATGGGTCGATCCTTCAAAGAGCATAGCTTCATGGAAACAACGACTGTTGCTTTCTCAAAGTGCATAAATAATTTGAAAAAAACTTGTATAAAACCACTGTTTATACCTTACTCTTGAAGGCGACACCCTCCTTTGTAGAGAGGCATTACGAACGCCAAAGTTGATGCACTCCCCTCGTAAGGGTACCTGACGTGATTCCATACACTCACAATGTCGACTAGTTTTTCGACTGTTTAATTGAATGATCGATAATAGTCGTTTTTTATGAAGAAATGTTCGAAGAAGAATAAAATTACTATCTGTATTTGAATTTAATAATCATGAAAACTTATCTTGGAAATCTCCAAATTCCGTTTATCTGTCTGATAGATGTTGAGCTCCTAAGTGAATTGTCCTGAACGATTATAGAATTCTTGTGAGTACAGGATCTTAAATGATGAGATATCTGCCGTAGTTTACATTGCTCCTGGAATATCCTGAGCCAAAGTGTTGTGTTATTTCGGCATCACTCTCAATCTATTTCCCCATCCCTGATCTAGGTGAATAAATGTCTGTGTTATCCTATTCCTTACTTCTTCCAGGTCATTCTGCTGTCCATCCGCACGCTCCACATCATCATCCGCTACGCCCTCCACCTCTACGACATCCGCAACGAGGCCTCTGCCCCCCTCAACTCCGCCGAGGAGAGCAAGGTGTGGGAGAAGAGGGGCCCCATCTCCTACTATGCGGAGCTCTGCTTCGATCTCACCGCGCTGCTCATCGATCTCGTCCATCATTTGCACATGCTGCTGTGGAGCAACATCTTTCTGTCCATGGCCAGCTTGGTGGTCTGCATGCAGTTGAGGTACACAGGGTGATTAAATGTTTTTATTTTATAATCCTAATCATCGAACACCACGAATTGTGGAACTGTGGAATCATGGGCAGAGAATCGACGGCATGTCATCGAATAATTCATTTTATCTAAAGTCATTCATCCAATGCTTACTCGATTTTCAACAGTTGGCGTCATTGTGAATTCAGTAATAATGACAGTACGATTGAGGAATATTGTGACATCCCATCGTCTTGTCAAATTCAAATAGGTAGGTACACTGGGTGACTAGGTTTTTTTTTATAACCCTACACGTCTCCGAACAGGCGAGAACTTAAAATGGTAGCAAGGCTCCTAACGGAGCACAACCATCTCAATAGACACCTAGAGTTTCTTGGGATCAAAGATGACCCCCTTTGCAGATGGTGGCTGGAAGATGACGTAACGTCATCGCATGTCCTCACTGAGTGCTCAGCACTGACACATCAGAGGAGGGCTGTCCTTGGCAACATAATTTTGAGGCCAGAGGACGTGAGAGAGATTCAGCTGAGGAAGCTGCTGAACTTCTCCAAGGAAGTCGGCATACCCAGCTGAATGTCGGAACTTGTGGGCGCACAATGGGCCCGAATAAAGAGGCCTACGTGTAGGTGTGTTCACCCGCCCACCAGTGATTAAAAGAAGAAGAAGAAGAAGAACCCTAAACGTCAAACACGAATTGATAGAAAGGCAGCTGGCAAATGCCGGTCATAAATTTGTGGAATAATGAGCAGAGAATCGAGGGCACGTCATGGAATGATTCATTTTATCTACAACTATTGAGCTAATCATCCATTACTTACTGGATTTCCAACAGTGCTGTTGTGAATTCAGTAATAATAATAGTACAATTCAGTGATGATTTAGTCCATCATATACACATGCTGTTGTGGAGAGCACTGCTGCCAGAAATTCTGTGCAGTAGGCGGCGGTATCATTGAGGTGAACTACTTTTCGGTCAATAGCGAAGGGAAGAGATCGGTAATGCAAGATATATTTGAAGTTTATTTTTGAATGTTTCAAGCAAGAAGAAATATCGCATCAGGGCCGGATCAAAATATTCTTATTTAAAAGCCTTCAGAATATCAATGTTTGTGATTTTCCTGCTTCAGAAAGGATATTTCTAGATAGTCGAGCACCTTGCAGATAGATGACTCCAGCAGATTCCCAGAGTATAGACAAATGTGCCTTTTTTCCTAGGTCGCCTACGAACCATCTTTGACTTCAACCTTCTTCTTGTTAGTGTAAATAATCAAGGCTAATAGGAAGAAAGCGACGTTGCCATTACACCTACTTGTGTGTAGCTCATGTGGCAAAAATTCCACTAAGCGACGCGATACTTAGGTGTAAGGCAAGGTTTAGCAATGTTACTTTATTTTTATCTCTATCAGATATTCGTGAACGTCTATGCGTATTCACTGCCAGACGTGTATAGGATTTTTTCATGCAGGTACCTGTTCCACGAGATCCAGAGGAAGTACAAAAAGCACAGGAACTATCTATGGGTGCGTAACCATCTGGAGCAAAACTATCCGATGGCGACTGGTAAGGAACTGCAGGAGAACTCTGATAATTGCGCCATCTGCTGGGAGAAGATGGACTCTGCCAGGAAGTTGCCGTGTTTGCATCTTTTCCACAAGTGAGTGAATTATTGCCGTTCATTTCCATGCAAAATTAAACATTAAATTAGTGCAATTTAGTATTTTTACATTGTTTGATGAGAGTTCAGACTAGTTATTTTAAGAGGATTTTTCATCGTAGTACCTGTCTGTTGTCTTGGTTGGAACAAGATACGTCTTGTCCTACATGCAGACTTGTTTTGGACATTCAGAATCCATCCTCTGCTAATATGGAGTCCCCAGAATTGCAGAACGATCCACAAGAGAACGTGAGACGACCTTTCAACCACTTTTTCCACTTCGATGGTAAGTAATAACAATGATATTTGTAGGTTTCATTTTAAAACATCTCCATCATTATTTATTGAGTATTTCATTTTTGTAGTGAATAAAATTACAGGTTGGCGTCTGATGTTTTCTGTTTTTATTTTTTATAGGTTCCCGATATGTGTCATGGTTGCCAAGTTTTTCTGTCGAAGTCAGTCATGTCCAAGCTATACGTCAAAATCACATCGCAGCTTCTAATTCACAACTGGATGCAATGGCAAGACAGGTAATCTAACAAAATGATAAACGTGACAACAATGTTTTACCACTGATAGAACCTCTAGGAAAAGAGCCTCAATGTGTGACATATTGATAGATAAGATAGAAAGATAGATAAACTTTATTTTCCTTTTTAGACAATTACATTTCATATTGTATAGGAATCGTCAATAGGTCTTACAAACTAAAGGGACATATACTCATCTACACTATAAAAACAGTTATGTAACAGAAACTCTTTCAATCTTCTTTTAAACACAACCAATGTTTCACAGTTTTTTATGTTGATTGGCAGTAAGTTGAAAATTCGTGGGGCCATGAGATTAGGAGAATTGTATGCTAATTTACATTTACCAAATGGGACATATACATCATTTTTTTGCCGGGTATTCACATTATGTTTGGATTTGTTGAGAACAAAATATTCATCATAATTTTTGAAAACAAATACACAATATTCAAATATTAAAAGACAAGGTAATGTTAAAATTTTATAGTTGATGAATATATTTCTGCAGGATTCTCTCATAGGAACACCTACCATTATTCGTACTATTCTTTTTTGAGCTATAAAAACATCTTTCCAGTGTGTAGATAGGCCCCAGAAACATAAACCATACCTAAGTCTAGAGTCAATCTGTGCGTAATTCAAGGTCAACAATTGATCAATATTCAAAACTTGTTTCAAGTTTCTCAATTGATATGATATTGTGGTTAATTTCTTTGTTAATAGTGCACAATGGTTATGCCACCCCAAACATTGGTCGATAGAGAGTCCCAGAAATTTGGTGCTTACACTATCTGTAATAACGAGATCAGAATTTTCCTTTGCCTGGAAAGTGATAAAGTCACAACTTTTCTGACGATTGTGGAATCGAATGGAAACTGTTTTATCAACATTCAAGTAAAGGTTATTTGCAGAAAACCATCTATTCAATTCTTGAAAAACTTGATTGCATTTATCGTTGAGGGCTGAATCATTCTTATCAGAGATAATTATGGACGTATCATCTGCATACATGGTCATAGATGTATCAATTGACTTATCGAGGTCATTAACATAGACTAGAAATAATACAGGTCCCAAAATTGATCCTTGTGGAACCCCTAATTCTGTTGAAATGAAGTCAGATGGTGTTTTGTTGATTTCAACAAATTGTTTCCTCAAAGAAAGGTAGTCTGCTATCCAGGCCAGTGGAGTACCACGAATACCATACCTGAAGAGTTTATTTAAGAGAATGTTATGGTCAACGCAATCAAATGCCACAAGTTTGGAGAATAGATAACCGAAATTAATTATATTTATGAACTTGGCTAATTGTGCTCAGATTTTGCTATTGAAGAATGTTGTTTTCTCACCTCTCATAACAAAATGGCAAACTTATGACTATATTTTCCTGTATATCTATAACTAGCAAAACAGTGCCACTGGTATGGTCCAAAAATGTAATTCTCTAATATGCCTAATTATACTGATATCTATTTGTTTTGACAATTTTTTGAGAGTCATTTTTGGGTATTATAGTATTTCCAGTTAATGTTTATTTTTTGGTGCCCCTAACCATAACGTCGGATTGGCATCTGTCTATGGTTATTTTTTCACTTTTGGGATTATCGGATTTCTGTCAACTTTCGGTAACAATTTCTCCAGGCCAGGTAATTAATTTTTCAAGAATTATATTTGATTATGTAATTATATTATCTCTCGACTCGAGCACTTGGAACCAACTATTAATCTTTACAAACCAAAAAATCTGTTCAATGTATCATCTTTATTTTAAAATGAAAATTTGTTCTTTTATTCATTTTGTGAGAAAAAAATATATCCAACTTGAACTTTACTGAAGTAAATACGATTCATACTCATGAAACGAGACAGTTGAATTCATTAATAGCAAACCCATATAACTCCATTATTGGCAAACAATCAGTATTCTACAACGGAATCATTTTATATAATTCATTACCTCATGATTTGAAACATATTGATGATGAAACAAGATTCAAAGTCAATATGAAAAAATATATACTCATGACACTATAAACGGAACAATTTATTCTCATTTGAATACTTGGAATGGTTTTATTTTAATCAATCAAATCAAAAATATACTTTATTGTCGAAGATTTCAATCTTATTGACAAAGCATGTTTCAGTAAATTATATAATATAGTATAATATAGAACATAACAGATGCAAACGAATACAATTAAAATAAGAGACATGTTAAAAAGAAACAATATATATATCACCAAAATGAAATTTTGGAGAGTCGTCAACTTGCAACTATCTCATATAGATAATACAATTAGAATCAGAATCACATTTTTCGCACGATATCACATTGTTAAAAATCATAACAGATTAAAATATATTAAAATATAACACAATTATAGAAATGGAAATTACAATAGAAACTAGAGTATGTCATTGTAATACCCCTGCAGGTTATAGTAAGCCCTCTGTAAAAGTATATCTTTCACTTTTTTTTTGAACTTCTTTGGGCAAGGTATATTTCTGTAAGCTATTGGAAGATGGTTATACATTTTTTTGCTTTCGTACATGACAGAGTTTCTAGTTAGACTAGATTTGGGTATAGGTAAAGGAATACAACCTTTGTTTCTTGTCTCATATTCCAGTATGAATAAACAAGATAGAGTCAAAATCCTTTGATTGATGAATAATTATTATGTTATATTGACATAACTTGTTAATTAGATTTTTTTTATTGTTATGTTTCTTGGGGTAATAAAGAACAACAACAGTACTGATTGATTGATTGATTGATTCTCTAGGTCCAGACCCTGTTTCCGCACATCCCGCTCTCCACCGCCGTCGAAGACCTGCGTTCGACGCGCTCCGTCGAGCTGACCGTCGAGAACGTGCTCGAGGGACGGCTGACGGCGCCTGTCATCTTCAGGGAGACGGAGCGCGAGCCGTCGACCAATCACAGGCCGATGTCGGTGCTGCAAGGGGACGTGGAACCGGCGGGGGCGGCGAGGAATTGGGACGAATTCAGCACCGAGAACGTCGAATGGTGAGTGCATAGAAAAACACCTTCATAAATCATCGAGGGGTGTACGCCAACAATCCTAAGTCGGAGCTCTCAGATTTGTATGTATCTCTGTGACTAAATAACAATGGATAGACACTGCGATTCATTCATGAATTATTAGAAAAGTATACGCCAGCAATTCTGAATGTTTAACACGGATAAGTCAATGAAATCGTGAATGGTGGGGATAATTCTGCAGAATCATTGCCAGACAATTGATATTCTTAATAGACAGTTTTTATGCAATATCTTATAAATCGGGATTCCTATAAATGTCTGAGTATGTGCATTGGCGACAAGTGGAAAACTTTTTGTATTATTAATTTCTTTAAAATCTAAAATACAACTATCAGATACCAGATATTTTCAGTCTCATAGGAGGTTTGTAATATTAATTTTGCTCAAAAAGTAGAGGTAGCGGCGTCAAGATGATAAAAGTTATATTGTCTAGTTTCATGATTATGAATTTCAGAATACCGTATCAAAATAATATTCGACTTCAATTTTTTATTTTTGATATTATATGATATTTTAAGAGTTTCAATTCTATATATTTCATCTAAAGAATACGTATTTGTTATTTCATACAATTGATTGGTTGGTGTATCAAATGGGAGACGATACAATACTTTTAACGATTTTCTATATAATGTTGATACTTTATTGAAATTATTTTTTGAACAAGATCCCCAAACATTTATCAAATAGTTGATACGACTCAGTATATGAGAGTAGAGGATCATATTTGCAATTTTAATATCAAGTTTGGGACATCTTCTCAATGCACCAATAATAATAATAATAATAATAATAATATTTATTTACCCAAGCGATTCAAATAACATGGTATTTACAACAACAGGATAAGTAAATAAACTAGATACACCCACAAAGCAAGTAGTGCTGTGCGTGGGGAGGTTTGAGTAAACATTAAACATCAACAATATAACTATAACACTTTTTTATAGGTATACCGTAGTGAAGAAGCATCTCTGGTAGAAAATCAGCATTCACAAAAAAGACTATGTCTTGTACAGCTTAGTCTAATTTTTCTACTAAAGGTTCCTATACATTTGGCTACTATAAGAGTGCGACAAAAAAAAATTTATGCAATAACGATGAGTTGATATTTCATATCCAATGTGTGAACAAAAAAAAAAGAAAAGAATTCAAAATTTTTCATTGGAGGAGAATGATTTGAGAATTGATGAACTGATGAATCTCAAGCCGTGGTTTTTCCTTAATCCATTTTCTTATTTTATTTTTATACATTGCAAGGGAATTGATTTCTTTAATTGAGTTTGGTATTAGATTGAATATTTTTGGGCATAGGTAAGTAAATGATCTCTGTGCCATGCTCTTGTTGATCCTTGGTAATCTCACTGAATTCATTCTATGTCTTGTATTGTGTTCATGTTCGATTCTATTAAGCTCATGTCTATTTTTATACTGTCTAATCAGTAAGGATTGACAGAATAACTGGCGCATATCAAAGATCATTGTTTCTTTATAGAGGTCATCAGTCGGGTAAGTTAATGGTTTATTATACATTATCTTCAGAATGAATTTTTGTGCGACTTGCAGGTTTTCCATATAGTTATCAGTAGCTCCTCCCCAACATATGAGACCATATGTTAAGTGGGGTTCTATTAATGTGTGATATAGCGTCTTCAGATGCTGTATTTTCAGAATTTTTGAGAAAAACTTGAATTTGTGAAATAAAAATCTGATCTTTTTTATCGCAAACTTTATATGAACATCCCATCTGAGATGACAATCGATGAATACTCCCAAGTATTTGACGTGGTTAGCTAATTTTATCTGCATTGTTGAGTTTCCGTGGTTAATGTTAAGTGTATGAAATTCTGGTAGGTTACTCTTGTATGAAGAGAATGGGACATAATATGTTTTTTCCATATTGATAGTGAGGAGGCGGTCTTCAAACCAATTTAATATAGTTGGAAATTCCTGCTCTGCCTTATGTTTCACATCGTTCCAAGTTTTATCTTCATAAAAAATTACTGTGTCGTCAGCAAAACCCATAATATCACCAGTTTTCACTATATCAAATAGGTCATTAATATATATATTAAAGAGTATTGGTCCCAGCACGGTTCCTTGGGGTACTCCATATTCAACAATCTTCATTTCACTTAAGCTGTTATTAATTTTCACATACTGCTGCCTGTTTCTCAGATAATCACGTAAAAGCGAGTATGAAGTTCCCCTGAAACCAATACCCTTTAGTATTTGAGCGAGTTGGTCATGACTGACAGTGTCGAAGGCTTTTTTGAGGTCTACGAATATTGATAGGCAAGGTTTTGAAATATTCATTGCATCATTGATTTTTGCTGTTAACTTCGCTATTGCGTCATTTGTGGACAATTTTTCCCGGAAGCCGTACTGTTTATTTGATATCAAATTATATTTACTCAAGTAGTCATTCATTCTTTTTTTAAATATTTTTTCAAAAATTTTTGAAAGACTGGATAACAAGGAAATTGGCCTGTAATTGGATACATTCAATTTGTCTCCGCTTTTGAAGATTGGTTTTATGATAGCAACCTTGAATGGTGAAGGGCATTTTCCAGTATCAAAACTTTTATTTATGATATATGTAAGTGGTTGTGCAATTTCATGAGCTACATTTTTCAATATTTCTGCCCTCAGCTCATCTAGACCAGGCGATTTATGGTTTTTCAAACTCAAAATAGTTTTGATCACTTCTTGAGGGGTTGTTGGCATGAGAAAAAAGGAGTTGGGAATTTGTCGACATTTCATCTTAGTATTTTTTTTCATGATTCGATCAGCGAGATTTTTGCCCACACTAGTGAAAAAGTTAACGAAATTGTTGGATATATCCCTTTCATCATCAATTATTTCACCAGCATCTGTTTTTACTTCTTTGATGCTATTGTTTGATTTTCCGTGACCATCACTGATTTCTGTTATATATTTCCATAGCGCAGATGAGCTGTGCCTATTTTCTTCGATTTTATTTTGATAATGATTTCTTTTTGTTTTTTTAATCAGTTCATTGAGTCTGTTTCTGTACTGCCTGAAAGTTGTTTTGTTTTCTATACTAGGGTTATTTTGCATTTTTGCATACAGGGCGTTTTTGTGATTGATTGATTTTATTAGAGCTTGTGTTACCCATACTTTCCTTCTTGTTTCTCTTTTTTTAAGTTTCTTATTCTTGGTACTTTCTGAAATTGAAGATTTCAGGATATTAATAAAGCGATTGGCTGCATCATCTAGAGATTCAGCAGTGTATACTCCTAGCCAATGTTCGCTGTTTAGTATCCCCAATAGTTTGTTGTTATCGATATAAATTTTCACTCTTGGCATATCCATTACGTTTTTTTTCTCAGGAAAGCATATTTGGTTTGCTATTGAATAGTGGTCAGTGATCGAGGTTCTTATTACAGCTGGGTTATGTATAATATTATTGTCTAGATTTTTGACAAATATATGATCTATACAAGTTTTTGTATCACCCTGTACACGTGTATATTCATTTATAGTTGAGTAAAATCCTTCTGCTGCCATAATATTCAAGTAGTCATCAGTATATCTGTGATTTTCGAGTGTATTAATATTCAAATCACCGACGAAAATATGACAGTCAGTGTTTTTTGGACAGTTATTGTGAAAATAGCTTGGTAGGTCATCGATGAATTCTTTCTCAGACGTAGATGGCGGCCTATACATTGCAGATATTAAAATATTCCTTTTTTGCACTTTGGCATATATTTGAATAACTTTCACTTCTCGAATGTTCTCTATTTTTGCGGTATAATCTATTTCATTTTTGATAAACACAATAGTACCATCATTTTGATTTATAGTCCCTTCATTATAGATTGAGTTATATCCATTTATGTTATATAATGATGTATCTCCTATCTGAAAAGTTTCGGATAATATGGTAAAGTCAAATTCGGATCGTGATTCATCAATAATAATTTTTAGTTCATCTAGATTTTTACTGATACTTCGAATATTGCAATGAAAAATTTTGATATTGTTATGGTGATTGTATTTGAGTAGGAGTTTATTTTAATCTTTCAGGTTTTCAGTTATCTCTGTTTTTATTGCTTTTGCTTTATATTCTCGTATATATGGATCCATTATGATTCTTTATTCTTTATAAGTACCTATATTTAATGAACAACTTGAAAAATTTACAATACCAAGAAAACGAAGAAGAAGAAGAAAAAAAAATAACAATGGGAAAATTATGTAATATATATCTAAATGGATAGCAGTTCAGGAGGAGATCGTGATTCTTATTGAATCATCGTCTGCCGGGCTGCTCTTCGTGGATTTTCTCGTGGGGCAGCCTTCTTAGCTGGAACTTGTTCTGGGGATGACAGTTCTTTTCTTTTTTCAGAGCTAGTGATTACATTATTGAGGGAGTCCAGGATATACTTGTCTATAATTTGGGGATCCTTTGCGAGTTCACTAACACTGTATTTGTTGGTACCAACAAATAATTGATTATTTCTTATGAAAGATTTTATGTTATTCTGCTTCAGTTTATTAAGGTATTTGCGTAGTTCCTTATGTATGTTCTGGTCATCTACACTCAAGTCTTCAGCAATGAATATTTGGGATCCTTTTAATTTATATGCATTTTTCAAAATTTCAGTTTTCTTTCTATATGAGATAAACTCCAGTTTGTAGTTGCTTGTGTTATCTTTTGCTCCTTTCAATGGATAAAAATTATTGAAATCAATATCCGTCAATTGTACGTCCAACAGTTTTTGAATATGTTCAACTACGTCTTGGTGTCTGTTGAAAACAGGTAATCCAAAAATAATTATTTTTTCTGCTCTTATTTTCGAGTAAGGATAATTTTTCTTTCAGTACACTGTTTTCAAGTTCTAACTTATCAATCTTATGCTTGTGATTATTCAAATCACTTTTTATTTCGTTTAGAGTTTCTTGAGTTTGATCCGTTTTGGAAACTAGTGACATCAACAGGGTATGAACATCTTCTAGTGTAATATTGGCTGTCATAATTCTTGATTCTCGAGTCGCGGGTCTGACGTACGCCAGAAGTGTAAATCCAAATGTAAGACACTACGTCCACTCCGTCAAATATCGGAGACTACTACTAAAACGTATTCGTAGATTCGTACGGACGGATGGATATGGATGTGTGCTCCAATAATTGGAGATATTTTTTTTGTCAGAACATCAATATGTTTGTCCCACTTCAACCTGTCATCAAACCAAATACCAAGATATTTTATCTGGTCAGTTTGTTTTAAGAGTACATTTTCTATTTTAAGGTTGAGGTAAATTTTTTGTTTATTTTTTTGGTGAAAAATCATACAGGGTGGGCCACCAGTAACTCGGTCTCTAGAAGGCTAACCACTTATCTTCTTGGAATTCTTCCTCTCTAGGAAGTTGCATGTCAACATAGGCTACAATTTGAAATTATTTTGAAACATGCAGGATGTCCCCAAAAATCACAAAACACTGAAGTTGAACTTTTTTCAATCGAACACCCTATATATTATTTCATTTTGAGATTCTCCCTGATAAGCTGATTTCAACGACCACATCATACTTGGGGTCTAGCAGTTATAATTACTGAGATATAGGGTGTGAGAAATCGAGATTTTCCAAGTTCAAGAATTTTTTGTGTCTAAACCATTCATAATTGGTCAAAACGGCTCACATGTCCATATCTCAACTTTTGATCAACTATCTACTGACATTTAATTGAAACAAATACAGGGTGGTGCAGAATTCAGAATCTTGATCACCCGTTATATGTCCCAATTAAATATCAGTAGATAGTTAATCAAAAGTTGAGATAGGGACATGTGAGCCGTTTTGACCAATTATGAATAGTTTCGACACAAAAAATTCTTGAACTTGGAAAATCTCGATTTTTCACACCCTATATCTCAGTAATTATAACTGCTAGACCCCAAGTATGATGGGTCGTTGAAATCAGCTCATCAGGGAGAATCTCAAAATGAAATAATATATAGGGTGTTCGATGGAAAAAAGTTTAACTTCAGTGTTTTATGGTTTTTGGGGACACCCTGTATGTTTCGAAATAATTTTAAATGGTAGCCTATGTTGACATGCAACTTCCTAGAGAGGAAGAATTCCAAGAAGATGAGTGGTTAGCCTTCTAGAGACCGAGGCGTTACTGGTGGCCCACCCTGTATATTCTGTTTTGTTAGTATTTATCGATAAAAGGTTATAGTGGAGCCATTATTTTCGTTATTATGTAGGTGAAAAAGACTTTTTCCTCCGATTGGCAGCAAATATTAATTTTGCTGACACATATTGATCAGCAAAGTATTACTTTTCCTGCCTAGGCAGCAAGGTGGGTACTTTGCTGCCTAGGCAGCAAAGTGGTTACTTTGCTGATTGATATGTATCAGCAAAATTAAAAATCCATAAATCGTTTATAATTTCCTTCATATTCCATCCGAGACTTCTCCGGCAACAAATTCAACTCTATATTTTTTGCCACCTCCCTTATTAATGGAGGTGTAAGTATACTTCCAGGTCGCTATCACTGTCCATTATATATATAATAATTTAAATATACCGATATTTTTTCGCACAACTGTCAGAAATTTCATGAATTGTCAAACCAACAACTGCGATTTCTATCAAATTTTATTTTAATTGAGTACTATACAGGAAGAATAAAGAGATTGTGGGAATTGTATTAATTCGCAAATACAATATTCTCCCATATCATTATGAACAATCGGAGAAAAAATTATATGTTCAACTCGGCAGCAAAGTAGATTGACTGCCCTAGCTAGATTCCTAGCCTCGCTACGCTCGGCTATGAATTCAGCCACGGCAGTCAATCTACTACTTTGCTGCCTAGTTAAACAAATAACTATTATGGCGGATGTCGAAAAAACAACATTTTTCATGTATACCAATATCCAAATTTGTACTTTTAGCGAGGACACTGCGTCTTTGGGTAGCCGCTTCTCGAAATCGTCGTCGGAGCGCGAAAAAATCCTCCAAAAAAGAAAGGAGCACTTGGTCCACCAGGCGAGAAGGCGGTACATCGAAAAGCAACGGGCCTCCACCAGAACCGAACTCCAGAGTTGAAGAGACGAAGGGGAGAGTAAGAAATGACACTTGTTATTAGTCGCCAGACTTCGTGAATTTTTTCCACATCGCCCGTATCCTAATAGCTTAACGGAGCCGAGATTAGGAAGAGCCATGCGTCTCTTGTAAATATTTTATTTTTTATTCTTAGAGAGCGCGCGAGGTGGATGCGTATTTTGATGGGAGACTTGGTGGAGCACTTTGGGATAAGTGCGTGAGCTCAATTGAACGATATCATATATTTTTTACCAGCTTATAGTCGCCAAATCCGTAGTTTTAGCCCCATGTATATAAACCTTTTCCCTTGTAGCTTACCACAATAAATGCAATTTATTTCAGTGGTGCTACTCATACTCCAAGAATTTCTATTTTATTTTTCTTCTATGTATGGTGTATCCTTTTTTGAACAGCTCTACCCTGATATTTTCTTGTACGTGGACTGATTTCAGCAATTCCAACAGCTATGATTTATTAATGAAGTGAAGACATTGTTCAAATGCAAAACACACAGTGTCCCATTTGAATGTTTTATTTTTTTCACTAATGTGAAATACTAGGGTTGTGCTATTCATATTGGGACACCCTGTACATATAAGATTTCGGCGTACTGAACTTTATAAAGGATCTCATTGTTCACTCTAGCAAAACCTTCATAGGCTTACTGTTTTACTTAAATCACTTGGTACTTTTATTTAGAATTATTATTCCATATGATATTGAGGGCACTTAGTATATTTCATCCTCACAGACTACTTAATACCGAGTTGCCTGAAAAAACTTTAATACCGTCCTTTACCAACCCTATATAAGTTTTTACTATTTAATTTACTTAATTTGCACTTTTTTATCCCTACCATAAATACTGCTAGATCTCATAACTAAGAGATCCAGAATGAACAGAGTTGCCCCAATTGTCAGCAGGAGCGAGACAGTACTGTTTCGACCCACCAGGTCTCATCAGCCGCTCTCGGTCTGCTGATAACTGGGACAACTCTACGCTTCGGGTATATCACCCATTTCGAAGACGCAGGGTATAACATGAAGTTGTAGTCATGTTGTAGCCATCTTGTGGCAAAGCTCTGAGGTAGGATACAGAGATATCGCGACATACACTGTATGGCGCTGCCATCTATAGTCACACGTACAGACCCCTACGTCTATACGCTACAGAGTGGTACTACAACTAAATCACTCTGCTGAAAGATGGCACTCATGGTAGTGAGTGTCGCGCAATGAACTCAATACAACTGGAAGGGACCCACTGTGAACGACGAGTGAGGCAAAAATATTTTTCAGGCAACCCGCAGTGTTTACGGATACCTATCTCTCTCTATCTTGTGTTGGTTAATGGGAAGCGTTCGCATAATTTGAAATATTTTCTCGTTTTTTGCTTCTATTTAAAAGTAAACGTGATTAAATAAAAATATCCATTTAGGAAAAAGGATAATGTTGTAATCAATTATCATTAAAAAATTATTACTGATTTTTTTATTGACTTTGAAATGAAATTTCAATCTCACTCTCACAAGATCAGGAAGTCAAATGAATACAAAATTGAAATTATATATTTTTATTCAAATGTCACAATATATTGTACAGGGTGAGCGAAGCACAATGTCTCAGAACTATCAGAAGGAAAAGAAAAACGATAGGAAAAATTTGAAAAGAGGTTCTTGAATGGTATTGAGTGCATTTTGAGCATAATTTCCATAGGTTCCTATTCCTTCTTCCTACTTCTGTCATATTTGAAATTTTTAGGTCTCTCCTTATTACGTTTTGTCTCAGTGTCTTCACTTTCCTCCTCAATACAATATATTTTATTGATAAACCTCGAAACTTGGGAGCTGGAAGTGGTAGGCAAGTCAAAGTCAATAAAATGGGAAACTTCTTCCTTCGGACCTAAGTTATGAGCGTCCATATAGATGCATCCTGAAAACAAATTACTATATAGCTAGTTTTTTTATTATTTTAATGAGGTGAAAACATACTTTTTTTCATTATCAATCAACTAGGTACCTATGAGTTTTCTTATTTTCCTGGGGGAATCAGCATTTTTTGGTAACAAATGCTGAGGAAATAAAAAATATACTGGGTACAGCATCTGCTTTCAAAAACCTAGCAGTACCTGGTATGCCTAAATAATCTGTTGGCAGGAAATGCTCCCCACAAAGCTTGCTGCTTCTATTTGGAGTCCAATTCTCTCTACGAACTACCTTTATCCATAATTCGAGAATGTCTGGTCTTTTGAATGGAAAGCTGCAACAAATAATATTACTCAATATCAATATGGAAGTATTTAACTTTGACAAATAATATAGGTATAGTTTTTGAACATATTCTGAGACTGGGAACATTGTATACCTAACTGGATGATCATTTCAAGAACTAGGTATATTTTTCAAAAATCTGAGAACAATATTCAACTCACCCATGGAATGCCCATTCCCGTTTGTTTTGTTCGTTCTTGCATCCAAAGGCGACACAATAAATCACCATTGTTTATCAATATTAATCACAAACCTTCTCAACAATCAGTTCAGTGTTCACAACAACAAATTCAGTCCTTTTGATACAACAAATCACGCCAAATGAATAGATATTTCACCTCGTATTTTGCATAAACGAAGACAATGAACTTATGTCTTCACTTTCTTGCCTGTGTAGATGAGAGAAAAAATTCCTAGCTACTTTAATTATTAGATAAAAGAAAATTTATACACCAATCCACCATTAAACAACACGAGTTGGAAGAGGACAGGTATCCGTAAATCATGCTATCTCTGTTGCAGCTGCCCCTGACACACTTTGTGCTATTCGAGAGAGCGGGCGTATCCCTTCCAGTTGTATTGAGTTCATTGGTGTCGCGATATCTCTGTATCCTACCTCAGAGCTTTGCCACAAGATGGCTACAACATGACTACAACTTCATGTTATACCCTGCGCCTACAATAAATATTAATGCTTAACTTTATCTCAGTTGAAATTCACTGAAAACCTTTTAAAGATGATTCGGATGTTTGTTACCCAGTGTTCCAAATGGAAAAGTATTTGTTGCATGCTGTTTGGTACAGTTTTCAGAACCCACATAGTCTAGATTTGTATTATACAGTGAGCACATAAAAGTTGAAACAAATTCAGTAAAAGCTCACGTCAATTGTCTTTTTCAGATGCGAAATTCTCGAAAATTCGGTTATTATGCAACATGTGAAAAAATAAAGACATAATATCACGTCCATATACAGAAAAATTCGTTCTTCTTGAGTCATAACTGGAACAGTGATGACGTCATAACTGGAACAGTGATGACGTCATCAAAAATTTACAGTGTGTCCCGCTTTTTATGAATACACCCTGATATCTCAGTTATTAATGGTGCGATTCTCTTGAAATTTTTGTAGTGATTGTATGTTAGAATAAGGAAGTATTTAGCAGAATGAACAGTTTCATTCACCATTGGCGTGCGATGTTGAGGGGTACAAAAAAGGCATTTATTTGGCTAAACGATATTGAGGATTTATAAGTTTTTTATCATATTCATAATCAGCATTCCCAAAAACTCCCCAATTCATATTTTCAAGATTCCAAGAGTTGAAATGAAATATTTCAAAATCCCGCTTTTCATGACAATACCCTTAAATCTCAGTTATCAAGGATGCGATTTTCTTGAAATTTTGATGGTGGAGATTTTGGAAATATGAATTGGGGGTTTTTGGGGATGGTGATTCTGAATCTAATAAAAACAAAAACAGTTATTTAAAATAAGCCCTAATATCCTTTTTCCGAATAATGACTTTTTTGTACCCCTCAACATTGCACGCCAATGGTGAATGAAACTGTTTACTCTGCTAAATTCTTCATTGTTCTAACATACAATCACCACTAAAATTTCAAGAGAATAGCATCAATAATAACTGAGATATCAGGGTGTATTCATGAAAAGCGGGACACACTGTATAATAGAAAATCCACGTGTCTGAGCTTTTCTCCCCACTGGCCATATCAAGCTTTTCATGAATTTGTTCCAATCTTTCTGTGCTTACTGTATAATTCATGAATTTAGCAGTGCTCTTCTAATGAGAAATATTTCGAAGCATCATATACAGGGTGCAACTCTCTTCTGAGGTGGCTATCTGCCTTCATTAGATGTCAGCTTGCTTTGAAAGAGACAAAATATATGTACTTCAGGGTTCCAACTATTCTATCTACCTTGGTTCCAAAGTAATATTATGAAAATGTTATCCTTGTAACACAAACAATGAGAAGAAATAAAGAGGACCTGCGTCGTCGTCGTCGTTTTTTTTTAACGGAATCTGCTCTTTAAGACGCTAACCTTGCAATAATTGGTCAGCAGTAGTCAGCACATTCCTTTTGATTTGTATGGGCCACCCTTGAGGTGTATCTGAGAGGTTAAATATCCGAAAAGGTTAAGCCCATTAGCAAGAACTTATTCCAGTACTCCATCAGGAGGAAAGTGTTGGTATTTGACCAGACCATTGTCTGCTGAATATGGAGAGAAAAATCTAGTGAGCTGTAGTATCTGGTCTGCTCAAAAAAAGAAAATTACCTACAGGTTTCTGTGGCCGATACAGTAGTGCCACCATACGGTCAACTCGAGGAAACACTTATTTCAATTGTTTTCCTGTCAAACTAACATAACCTTGAAAATCGTAAACGAGTTGAGCAGCTCCCTCAGCATATCGGCAGTCTCGGCCGGCGGCGCAGTTTGTTTAGTGACTTTGAGTTCAGTATCACGACATAGTCACTCAGTAACTCGACAATTAAAAAAATCATTCCTTCACAAAATGGTTGCTACAGACACTTCAATAGTCCCCAATTTCCTAATGTTCAACACCTAAATTAAATGAGAGGTTGAATCCGTAGTATCGATTATTAGCTTTTGATCAGGGCTATGATTATCTTACTTGTAATAATGAGCCTGTAACACTCAATATCGAATGTTTACACTTATGTCGCAGAGAAATATCACTTGGAAATACATTAATAGAGACGGTTTCACACTTTCTGGTAGGAACAATTGAGAGACAAATTATCAATCGAAATAAACTACTTTAATACTGGGAACACAACACAAAACTATGTCTCTTAACGAAAGGAATATTAGTCACGATGGCACGACAGCTCTTGACACTGACAACTTACATAACCACAAATTTCGAAAATTTTTTAGAAAAAAGAGAAGATTATTATTTCGTTCAATACGGTAACATCCTCTGGTGGTCATACACTCAACTGAGTGCATTTTCGTACAGAGGTAAGTGGGACACCCTGTATTCATTGTTCATTGGAAGGTATTCTGATTATTTTAATTTGAATTTATAATAATCTTCTCCATTTCTTCTCATTTTTCCTGTTATCAAATGGTAATATAATTTTATTGAACTACTTCTGATATGAATATGTTTTTCTTTATTTCCATTATTAATTTTGAGAAGAGCACTGTTAGTTGTCCTGTTACCCCTTTCCCCAGATAGCATTCTAGCCGGAATAGGTGTATTTTCGATATAGGAAATATGTAATTGCCATGCAAATTACTGTGTGCCAGAATACTGATGGCCAAATTTGTGTAACTTGTATCATATTTAACTAGCATTGAATCATGTTATGCCGAATGTCTTTACTGTGCTGATCTGCTGTAGATAAAAATTGAGAAAATATAAATCAAGCTGAAAAAAGTGTTTTATTCACCTTATATAAATGCATCACAAATGTGTACATATTTATAAAAAAATATCAAATGTTGTATGGATGGGTTCAAGGATAATTACTACATAATTTTCAAATTAATATTTCAATATCAACATTATAAACCTGACTAGATTATAGTAATCACATACATTCATTTCAGAAACAAACATAATTTAACAATCTTACATTACATTTTCTGAATTCCTACACTTCAATACCTAATGTTAATGGTCTGAGGAACTAAAAATACATTTTATATTGGAGATCATCATGAAAAAGTTGTTCCACTGGTCAGGATATCTATGTGGTCAGTTTCAACATCTGTCATTCTTCACTGATGGATTCAAATCAATAAAATATTGATGTGCCATGGCATCATCAGCAGACATTCTCCCCATTGGATTACACACCAGCAATCTTTGAAGGAGGTCTCTACCCCTATTTCCCAATTTTGGAACCACCTAGAACATGAAAACTTAGAAATTGTCATGGTTGTATTAATTTTTCCTTCACCTGGGATAAACTCATGTTTGGCTGATATATGGGAAAAGGTTTGTAGTCTGGCAACAGACTCATTCCAGTCCAAGTTTCTTCAGTTGGGGTGCCTAATAGCTTGAAAATCCTTCTTAACTGATCATCCACATCAGAACCAGGGAAAAGGGGCCTACCTGCATTAGCTAATTCTGCGAAGATACACCCAGCAGACCACATATCAATGGAAGTAGTGTAAAGCTTTGCACCATACAGAACATCTGGTGGTCTATACCAAAGTGTTACAACTTCTGCAGAGTAGCATTTCACTGGAATCCCAAAAGCTCTAGCTAGCCCAAAATCAGCTAGTTTTAGTTCACCATTTTTGTTTATCAGCAAATTTTGTGGCTTCAGGTCTCTGTGTAAGATGTTGTTGGTGTGACAAAATGCTAAGCCACGTAGCAACTGGTACATGAAAGATTTGACTACATCCAAATCAATGTCTCCATTCAAACTATCAAAGTACTTTTTCAAATCTTGATCACAGTGTTCAAATACCAGGGTAAGCTTTTTGTCACTGTGTAAGACGTCGTACAATCGGACAATGTTTTTGTGTTTTAGTTCTTTCAAAAGGCATATTTCACGTAGAGCTGATGAAGGGACTCCTTCATCATCATCATCTAGTCGTACTCGTTTCAGAGCAACTATTTCAAGAGATTCTCTATTTTTGGCTTTGAAGACTGTTCCGTACGTGCCTTCGCCGATTTTTTCTAGTTTTTCGTATTTCTGCATTTCACAACACAAAATTTAAAATTTATTAATTCTGAGCGGAAGATAAGGTTAATTTCTATTTATTTCTCAAGTAAATATTCTCATATTTCCTGATTTTTTTTGGCTAACCTCGTAACCTAAAGACTACAATCATTACAGTGCCTTGATAATTTTGTATATGGTCTTCGCCGAACTCTGGTGTAAATGAATGAAAAATAGTCTTGTGACAGAGAATCGGTACTTGAGACACAACTGACAGTGACAACTACTAAGTGACAGACGCCAGACATTGTCAAAACAATTTGTCAAATTGTCATTTTTCTTCATTGTTTACATTTCATCACAAGAATATTATATCTTTTTATTAAAAATCCATCAATAAATTTTATATAAATTGAGCATTATAGCATGTTCGTTGCTTGAAATTCCAATTTCCAAGTGGACAATCTATTTTCTGTTCCAAATATTCGAAACGATAATGGCTGGGATAAAAGGTGAGAATAATGATTGAGTCCAAGGTATAATCAATGAAATGTGAAACAAGAAAAAGTTCTATAGTAATTAATTTTTTTTCAGTTCGAATATTTTCTAATTTTTATGTATTTCTTTTCATGTGTCTTCCTGTTACTCTGATGGATATCGACAGCGTGAGTAGTTATTTTACTAGTGCAATAAGAAGTGATAATATGAAAGGCAAAAGTATCAATGTTTATGTTTTACAGATTGGTGGCTTTGGCTTTTGCTGGTTCAGTTGGTATGACCTTTGTGATTCTAGCATGTGCTCTACCCCAATACAAGTGAGTACTGTTCATCAAATCAGAAAATCTGATGCCCTTATGACACTATATATCTTTTTAGAAGGATCAAGATTAAAACTTGAGGTATAGGTACATTTTGAGTTGCAGTCTTATTTCTTGTACATGATATTAAGTACATAAAAATACATAGTGTCATATGGGATAATGAAACAAAGTCAAAATAATAACTTCATTGGACATAATATACTGTTATTTTTTCTCAGATTATGGTGGCCCTTCTTTGTAGTTCTCTTCTACATTTTTGCCCCTATCCCTACACTCATGGCCAGGAGATACAGTGATCACTCAGGCTCTAGCAACTCTTGTTTAGAGGCTGCAATATTCATAACAATGGGCATCATTGTCAGTTCATATGGATTGCCTATAGTCTTGACAAGAGCATCTGTCATTGAATCTGGGGCCTGCTATCTTACACTAGCTGGAAATACAGTGGTTTATGCAACTCTGATAGGGTATTTCCTTACTTTTGATCAAGACGACTCTGACTATAATATGTGGTAATGTGCTGTATGGATCCAATAAATTTTCTCAGTACTCAATTATTTTTGTTGAATATCATAATTGCTTTAAGACTAATGTATTTTGTAAGATAATGAATAATATGATGGTTTAGTTGATTTATGTATAGTGAGACTTATTATTGACTAAGTAAATGTGACCTTTCTTAAGATTGTGATTTTCTTGATCAAGATTGTTGGGTAATTACCTGTAATGTACCTGTATTCACTACTGTCAAAGTAATTTGTCAGCTTGACAAAAATCCAGTAAAACATGGAATAGTAAATATGATGCACTTCATACACCACCATGGTAAGAAGAATGAAGATCTCTCTAGAGAAGAAAATGGCCATACAAATGATAATTGTGCTCATGCTGCTAGTACCAGTACCAAGTATGTTAATTTTTATAATTTGTCACCGTGGTTTCAAAATCATTTACCTTTCAGAGCAATTCGTAGTGTAATACAATTCTTATTGAAGTTAGTTTAAATAATCAAGGCGTACTCCATGTATTCACATTTCAAATACCGCGTTTTCCCTATCGCGACCTAACATGAATTTGAACTACTGTCCAATGTCCATTCAATAATCGTATCATCGATTCTACCGATCTTGCACTTTGGCAAGGTTGGTAAAACTGATGATTATTTTGTCAGTTCTACCAACCTTGGATTCTACCGATAACTATGGCCATCTATTGGTTGAAATTGTTAACTATCCAGTGCACCACTTTTTTTGTGATTGATGACAGCACCATCAGTTTTCATCACGTGAAACTTCATTAACGATCAGCTGTCTTCTGGGGAGTGGTTGTGTGTCTAGGGGTGTTTTGGTGCAGTTTATTTCAATAAAAAGGTAATTATTCTGGAAACATCAATTGACTATGCAGGAAAAGGTAACATTCAAAACTGGTATTGTATTGTACATATTTAACAACTTATTGGAGTGTATTATTGTGTTTTTGCTTCTGGGTAACTACCCTTTCAATCCAATCCCTCCAACCCTACTGGATTCAATTTGACCTACAAAACGTAGTTGATGAATGTGCCGAATTTCCAGGAAAACTTTCCAGATGCTCTCCAGATTTGTTAATTTTGTGATTAATCAGATTAATTAACTTAACCTATCACTGGCATGTTTTTATCCAAGCAAATTCTGTTTTTTTCATGATTGGGAGTGTGTTTGATAGGGTTCATATTAGATTTGTTTCAGAAAATGCCCATTAGTTTGGTGTGTATGATCTACTGTATTATATCAATTGATTTACTTCAACTTTGGAGTCACATGACATCAGTACTATGTAATAAAGAACTTTCAATTTTCATTTAACTTATTTCTGTTCAAGGAAACATAAGGAGGAAGATACCAAAAGTAGTGATCGTAAATCTGTGTCAGAGCACGAAGAAGAAATGACTGAATACTGGCTGATATCTGCCCCAGGGGAGAAAACTTGCCAACAAACATTTGAGGCAATGAATAACACCACCAGTAAACAGAATAATCTTAGCACAAATTACAAGTTCCACATTCCAGACTTGAAGGCAAGTACACCAAATAGAAGATGCAAATGTGTGTGAAACCATTCAAATATGTTATTTTCCATTGGCATTATACCTACTTATTTATTCTTGTAGGTTGGTACCCTGGACCAGCTGGTAGGCTTGTCAGATGATTTGGGCAAGCTGGATGGATTTGTTGAACAAGTTACTCGCAAAGTAGCACAGTACCTTGGTGAGGTTCTAGAAGACCAAAGAGACAAGCTGCAAGAGAACTTGATGGCTAATAACAGTATGTTTTTGTAATTTTTTTTTCTTGGGAATGGCAATTTGTTTTTAAGAGCCGGCATGCTACCTGTTTTATCAACAAAAAAATGATGGTTATTTTCTAAATTGTTGGTTTACCTTTTTCTTTTTGGCATTACAGGGGATTTTAGGGTTTTTTATACCTACTCTGATTGATTATTGGTAGTGGCAGTAGGTACTTATTGATATTTACATTGAAAACATGAACAATTAAAATGGTTAACAACAATATTCAATCTATCATGTTTCATATAAAATTTGTCCAGATACTATGAAATGTTCATTCAAATTATATTACTTTGGTCCACTTCATTAGAATATATCATGAATATAATATTATTTCTTGGATCTAAGTGTTAACCATTTTACTGTTTGGAGTAGGTATAGCCATATTTTGAAATGAGGTTTTTTTGTTATTCATCATTGATTATTACTCATTCACAATACAAATAATAATGCTAATTGAATTTCAATTCAGCTGGTTTTTTCAAGAATACCAATCCCATAACTGATATTATTATGATGAAAAATGAAAATCTCATTTCTTTAATAATTGTTATTAAATGGCATGCACAACATTTGATAGTAACTTAACTAATCTAACAACTAATTAAACTAACCACCACAAAACACAAACGAGCATGCCTCTTTTACCTTTGAGTCAAACAAAATTACACAGCAAATATTCTGTATTTGTCAAGGACTATGGACAAAATTTGTGCTTTTCAAGTTTTCGGGTGCATAAAATTTAAATGGAAATGTTTCGGCTAACAAAATTTTACAATCTATTAGGTATAAAAAAATACTCAATATTTACTATTATATACAGGGCGTTTAAAGCTAGGTTGCTTTAGTGCTATAGCAGGTAAAACGGTGAAAATGGTTTCAAGATGTAATGTCTATAGTTGCCTATAGTATAATATTTGGAAAGCTGGGTGCTGCTTTGATAAAAAAAAGATAATATCCTACTTGTACATACCTACATGTGTGTATGAGTGTGTGGGCTTCCAATCCAACAATGAATTTATTTTATGTTCATATTTTTGGCAGTGTCTACATACACATTGGCGTTAACGTTTCAATATACGTCATCATGAATAGAGCAATGTCTGCTGACGTCACAACATGGCGCACTTGTAGTTTTCTTCAGCTGATCGGGGGGGGGGCAAACAAAGCTGTGTGTGAATTTTGATTTTATTATTTCTGACCCATTGGTGATTTTGTTGAACTTGTAGATATTATACAAGAAGAATGTGTAATTAGGTATCTTAGAGCTTGACAAATAAACCAATTTGAACTCTTCTTTGGACTCATTCACTTCTCTCACAGGATTCATGATAAATGAATTAAAAAACATGTCAATAAATAAATGCTCCAGGTATTGTATTTTAGTGGTAAATGTGCAAGAAAGTTACATGTACCCTTATGGAAAATGTGTCTGCTTGTCCCCCCATCAGCTGTTCAATGGCCGACATATGACGTCACTGACAATGCTCTTTCATTGAAATATCTGCATCAGTGTTTGAAATAACTTATTCAAACAATCCACGCTAGCATATACTCATATACTGCCAGAATAGAAAACGTGGACCAGGTGGAATGCAATCAATATAAATATCAAATTCGTGTGATTGGCTATGCTTAACGGCCCGCTTCCCGGTACCGAAACATTTCCATCTCAGGAGTACGCAAACACAGCCACTCGAAACGCAAGCAACAACAGCCACACCCCCACCGCCACAACAACTCCGACTATGAGGACGAGGACGAAGAGGGCGTGGTCACTCCCGATGGGGGCGTGGCCAGTAGGCGTCGCCGCTCTCGCGCGGCCATTCGCGGCCTCTGCTTGTTCGGATGCGCGTGCGACGGCTGCCTGGCGGTGGCGGCGGGGGGGCAGGAAAGGGGGCGGCCGCCCGACGACAGGGGGGGCGGGGCCTCGTCGGAGAGCTCGTCGGGCGTGTACTTGACGCCTGCGCACAGCAGCGAGGAGGACGCCGGCACGCCGTCGGATGTTGTCGAAGTCTACCACCCGCCTATTCTCGGGCCAGGTCAGTGGGGAGGCGGAGCGATGATGATGCGCAGATGAGTCGATGCGCTTGCGCGATGCACCCGCTATTCTTATTTGGACAGGTTGTCCGTGAGATGGAGGTCAACCTGTTGATCGTATATTCCTTGAGCAAAAATGGTATCACTTTTCATATTGCATTTCCAATTTTTTTCTCGATACAGTGCTACAACGTAAAGAGTCACATATTTTGAGCAAAATAGTCAGGGTTATAACTCTCCCGTTTCTTAGTATGCACTTGCCCCAGGGACAAAACAAATCCTGCCATCAAAAAGCAATCTTGATGACGTCAGTTGTTAATATTGCTAGGCCAAGCTCGCTAAAACTCCGCCAACAATTTGCCAAGTCGTAATAATTATTGTAGTTGAGTTGAGACATTTTTTGATTGATAATGAAATTGAAAGCATTCAAATTGAGCTCTTTTTTATTTTGAACGAGAGAAAGGAAAGTTCTCTCCTTTTCCATCTTTCTCTTCACTGCTACCAACTTGGCCGCATCAAAATATGGAGAGGTCCGAAATATCTTTTCTTGTCTAACATCTAGTTTTGTGCCATTGAACCTAACCAAAATTTGTCATCAGAGTATTCTTCCAAATTGTGGTATGTCATGATTAAATATATTATAGACTCTCTATTGTTGATGAATGAAGAAAATATTGTTTCACTAGCCCATTCAAGTTGAAAAATCATTAAAAAAAAAACAATGTTTGAAGTTCCGAATAAGGGGACTAAAATTAAAAAAAAAAACGGCTTACGATGTGTGACCTGACGAAAGCCTTCGACTGTGTCTCACATGATATTCTTCTTGATAAAATGGATTATTATGGTATTCGTGGCAAGCCACATGAGTTTATTTCTTCTTACTTGAAAAACAGGCTGCAGTGCACCATATTAGATGGAAATCAATCGAGCTTCATTGAACTGAAACACGGAGTGCCTCAAGGCTTAATCCTGGGGCCAATTTTGTTCATTTTATATGTTAACGATCTATACTACTATTCACTACCAAATAAATGTGTTCTTTTGGCGGTGATACATCACTTATCAACCGAAAAAGATATACATAAACTATCTCAACTAGCTGCAGAAAATAAGAATAAAGCAGAAACATGGTTTGTAAAAAATAATCTAGCTCTAAATCAATCCAAAACACAGGAACCTAGCAGTTCAAATTCCAATTTAACTGACGGGTCAAGTGTAAAATTGCTCGGGGTCTTCATTGACGATAAATTGGTTAAGTCATCGAATGTTTAAGAAAAAAACTATCGAGTGTATTTTTTTTTGCTTCGACAGCTTAAACATTCAATAGATCTACCATCTCTACTATCCTCTTATTATGCATTATTTCATTCGCAGGTAAACTATGGAATACTACTTTGGGGAAATTTCAGTCATAGTATTGATGATAGAGTCATCCTACAGAAGAAAGTTCTGAGAAAAATTGCAGGTGCTGGAGCATTGTCGTCCATTTTTTATTAAGTTTGGAATTATGACAATACCATCTATATTTATATTCAACACATCACTTCATATTCACAATAATTCTACTGAATTTGGCATCTAGTCCGACCTACACAATTACCCCACAAGGTCAGGTAATTACATAAGAAAAGCCCGTTTCAGGCTCAATATTTCTGAAAAAAAACTCCATAACCACTGAACTCTATAATAAGCTGGGTCCAACTTGGAAAAAGTTGAATCACAACGCTTTTAAAGCAAATATTAAGAAGCTTCTTCTTGAACATGCCTACTCAGTTGAAGATTTTCTTAATTGAAGACACAAGTGGATAAAGGGTTCAAGTCACACAAAATTAATTTGGAGCAAATGATGTTCAAAGTTTTTGATGTCGCAGTTTTTTGTATTGCGTTGAATGAAAAAAATAATCGCTGGTTTGAATAGACCTTTATTACACAATTTTGCATAGTACATCTGACACTGGTATATAATACAGTAAAAAAAAAACTCAAAAAAGGTACATGAATCCTTCATCCTTCAAATAAACAGAGTTTGTTTCAAGTACCCGACAAATAGAATAATCATGGATGAAGGATTCATGTTCATACAATACAATGTACTTGAACCCTTCATCCAGTGGCAATGATAGAACATAGGTGAACATAGATCTTTCATCAATATATAACTTTCTTATTTTGTACAATAGATGAACGGTATTAGTAGGGAAAACATTCTACTCACTTAAATCCTTTATCCACCCAAAAATCTCATTTTTAATTAAAATGTCACATAGACCCTTTATCCACTCGTGTCTTCAATTGTAACAATGAACTCTGGGAGAGGCCTCAGCGCGATATTAATGTTTTCATGAAACCTGATTTATAAGGTTGTCCATCACATCCTTGGTATGTCTGTATTTATTGTGTTTTATTTCTATATGTCTGTTTTTTTTTGTGTTATACTCTACATGGACATGCACTTTTCATCTCTTGTAAACCTGACATGCTACATATACACTGTGTCCATAAAGTCACCCCCCCCCTGGTTAACTATTGAACGGATGGGATTTTTTTTTTCAATTTTTTTTTGCTCCAATGGTAGTTTCAGTGCTACATATTGTTCCAAAAAATAAATATGTATCCTCCAAGCCTGGGCGCCATTTTTGAAGATTTTTTTAAATGGAGTGGGGGGTCGAAAGATACCTCGATTGAAAGGTCTTCCGATTCTCTATACAACCTCAGAATCTCAGACGAAAATATTCATCCAAAACAAAATGGCGGATGATAACGTTTGAAATCTCACACCAGAATTCTTTCGACTAGATGGCTATTAAAGTGCTCGCATGTGATCTTCAAATCTCTATTGGCGTATAGAAGAGTTCTCTATCTATGAAGATATCAATAGGAAGCCATTTTGAAGAGAATAACATGGTAGTCAATTATTACCTCTGCTCGCCTTTTCAAATT